TTACACATCGTGTCATTTCAAGTAAAAGACACAGTGACCATTAACACAAAAGAGACACTGTGAAGGCTTTCGAACCAAACACACTCAACACATCAATGAGGCCCACTGGCTCTGCCTTGTACAAAGTGAAGTCCCAAACATATTTGTGGAGTGAATACATGAATGGATGACATTGCTTCTGTTATTTGCACACAAAATTATCCAAATCTTTCTATTTCTAGTAGAAATATCATTTGAAAATTCAATAACTATTCTTCACCAGCTACTTCTCCTGGATGGCCAAGTTAGCTAAATTGACTCCAGACTAAGTAGGACACTACTGTCAGTGATCAGAAGAAGGCCTACCAGGTATACTTACTGTGTACAAATCTGATGTCTAGAGAATGAACATTCCATATATTGAACAACCCCATATTTCATCTCTTCATCTGAAACATGAGAATCTAAGTAATTTTGATAATGTATTATCACAGAAACAAAAAGTAGCAAATATATGTATACAGAAACGTATACAGAGATATAGGTATCTCTACCTCTATCTCTCTTAGTAGACTTCAGATGTCTCTTCTCAGTGAGAAAAGCAAGCTATCCTGAGTGAAGTAAGCCATATGTCTATGGGACAACAGCTAGAGAATGCATAGGCCATACTTTTACAATCTTCCATGCGTGTACAACGTGGCAATATGAATGCTGAGATCACTGTTAAAAGCAAAAGGCTTGAAGTAGTAAAAAAATTTTTAAAACCAAAGACTAACTGTGATAACAATTACAGAATTACAGCATCTAGGAAGACTGCGACCACTATATGTAAAAGGAATTACCCTGAGCCCATTCTTGGCCCAGACTCTGCTCGTAACTTCCCCCCACCTCTTCTGCCTCATGTAGGGTGAAACTTTTCTGAGGCTTATCACTAAAACTTCAAAAATCTGATAGCGTACAGAGTATTTTTCTTAATCAAACTTCAGATCATTCTAAACCATTTCAAAAGCTTTTGCCTTTATTCTTAAGTAGAACAACTGACAATTCATTCAGCAAATTGGTAAGCATGTTTATTTGTGTGTGTGTGTGCATGTGTCGGTATATATTCACAAGAATTGTGTAGGTATACACACACACGTTAATGAAATAACTATCACTGGCTTCAGGGAAGTAATTAAACTAGAATTTAGTATATTATTTACTTAAAAATGAGTCTTTAAGAATTAAACATAGTTTCTAAAAATTCAGAAGCAATTTAATCACATACAAAATATTAGTTCCATATTAGTAAATACCACTAGTGAAGAAAATCTAAAAATAACCTTAAAAGTAAAATGTAAAGTAAAATGACTTAAAGTAGGGTTATTTATTTTAAACTTCAATATTATGTTTTTTTTTTTTAAATACAAGTGAATAAAAATATGCCCTTGTAACCTCCCCTAATTCATAGGAAAAGATCTATATGAACTAATCAAGGAATACTTTAGTATTCTAAATACAAATACATTATTTTCAAATACGTAGAGTAGCTAACTCTCAACTAAATGCTTCCACGTCCCTAAATATTATGTTTTTCCTAAAAATTGTATGTGCACAGGGGGCTGAAAATAGTTTTTCTTTCCTTTTTTAAAGATTTTATTTTTAAAGTAATCTCTACACACAACATGGGGTTTGAACTCACAATCCCGAGGTCAAGAGTCACATACTTAACCAACTGAGCCAGCCAGGTGCCCCCAAAATAGTTTATTTTCTTAAATTAGTTAATATGCCCCTCAGGATTTTTTTTTTTACTTATTCATTATCTTGGCTTTAATAGTTAGTGCCAAGGATAATTTCATTTCATACTGAACTTAGGCTAACTATCACAAAATTTAAATCAATAGAGTCAGAACCAGTATCATTACAATATCATATATATTATAATATCATATGAAATTAGCCCATTTTTAAATTAAACATTGGTGCTGCAAGAAGAGTGACCACTGAAAGCATAGGGAATCTAAGCCACTGAAAGAATGTGATTTAAAGAGACAGAAAATAGTGTGAGGCTTCTAAGATTAGGATATTGGTTCATAAAATAAAACCTACCTTCTAAATTCAACTTTATATAGCCAATATAAGTAACACTCATACAGAAATTCTTTGTTTCTTTCTTGTTAAACAGTAACGGAAATAGATATAAAATTCTAGTCTCTTCAAATTGCTCATTCTGTTAATACTATATTAAGTTTTGTAATATTTAATATTAGATAACTTTATAAGATATGATGGAATATTTAAGATGTACTGACAATGGATTACTGGTTAGCAATTATTTTTGGGTAGATCCATGTTGAGAGCCAAAATTTCTACTCATGACCTTCCTGTTTAGGGGAAGAGAGGCAAATGTCCAAATGTGGAACTCAGAAGAACTGCTGGTAGGCTTTAGCAATGTTTAAAGGAATTATACAGGAGCATGTGAGCAGTTAGGTAGAGGAGTATGTGAACATTTAGGTAAACCCATTCTAAAAACTCAAGGCCGGTTAAATGTCCAATGTCACATGGAGGTACATTATGGTATTCAAAATTGCCTTTATTCAATTATTCATTGGATATTTTTTATCGTTGCCACTGTTTTGGAATCATAGTCAAATTTTATAGGATATACTTTTTCAGAATTTCAAAACATATCTAAAACTGTTTATCTTCAATGATGAGGAATCTATTTTTTGAGATTGCAATAGCATTTCATTGCCTCAAAACTGCATCCAGAATGGTAAAATGTCTAAGAAATCCTATGATTTTCACATATTAAAGACATTTTACATGTTTCCATTCATTGTTTTCCTCAATATAAAGTGCATAATTTAATGGCAACACGTGTCACATAACTCCAGCTTTATTAACAAATAATTGGTAATAATATTACAACAGTTCTTCTATTAATAAGGAGAAGCAGCATAATGTATGAAGAAGAAGTCGTCATGTGACTGACTTGGGAGAATCACTGGGCTCTTCTTTGCTTCAGTTCCTCAACTGTGAAATGGGGGTGATGAAGAGAGTACCATCTCAAATCGCTGTGAGGATTTGTAGAGCAATAACAACAAAAGCCCTTGGAGGTATTGCTTGGCACACAGTAATTACTTAAATGTTAGCTACAATTTTTATTTTAATAAAAAAATGACAGTGACTGATGATAATATAAATCATTACTAACTTTTGAGCATTTAATAAGTGCCAAGCACTCTGACAGATGGTATACTTACACTACATTTAACCCTTAAAATATTAACCACATCCTATTATATAGAGATTAGATCCTTAAAGATATGCTATAATTTGTTCATACCATAATAGCACATAATTTCCCCCATGAAACATAGCAAAGTATGACTGAAGTGTTTAAGTGACCGCTTCATCCTTCTAATGAGAAATGAGGCTTCCAGAATGGTGATTAGAAAACAGTAATGACATTATGAAAAATCCTTGCTACTAGTTGATCAGTTCTGCTCCCTCATTAGCCTGCATTGAATGTCATCAATTTTTCAGTACGGGAAAATCACAAAAGACTAATGTCATGGACCTTCAGGGTCAGTTGTTTATAATATCAAGAATGTTAAATCCCTACAAGTCAATATAGGTATTTGTGTTAAGGTCATATCTTCATTAAATTCAAAGTGTTCAACTTTTTCTTTGAAAACTTTGGAGTTTGTTTCTTTACTCCTCATTATGTATATGGACTTAATGCAAAAATCTTAAGTGTTTCTGTGCCAAAGAACAATTTTTATCAGCTTGACCAGTATATGAATACCTCATACATATGTAACACAGTTTTTGTTATTCAATACACAACTGCAAGTGGTGAAGGTTTTTAATAATCATTTGAAAAGCATTATCAAATTTCATAAATTAAAATTTAATAACAGTCTGTATATACTTCAGTTATAAAAAGCATTTCACATACTAAATTAGCCTAAATCCATATAATTATCACAGTCACAGTAAGGGCATTTTAATTGCTTTGAAAATTATAGACCCAAAAATCAATATGACCATATTCATTATGCTAACAATGTTATTTTATCAACATAGAGATGATAAGCATTACACATACTTTAGAATGAAAACAGAATACACCTTGTGCTTCCATACGTTATCAAGGTCTTTAATAGTCCTTGTAAAGTTCAACAAATAAAGCTTTATTTTCATATGTTATACACAAACCTTGATAGAGAAATACTCAGCACAGTATATTCTATTGCAAGTCTCAGTTCTCATATGAAAGCCTTCATAAAAGTAAGAATTTTAGGTGTCTTTCTAAGTCAGAGCTTAAATTTTTAAATGGGCTTACGTTTCCTCCTGTACCCTTCTCTCCCCTCCTATACCTCTCTGATCTCCACCGCTCCCCACCCCTGGCCACCTGCGGCCCAGCCCCAATGCACACGGCCCAAGGGAAGCCAGTGACAGCATCTGGCTGCTGGAACTGTCCACAAGCACAAAGGATACCTAGAAGGGGATGGAAGAAAGTCTTGGTAGAAGCCTCCATCAGCTCTCTTCTCTTCTACAGAGAAATAAACCCTTAGGAGAAAGAGTAGAGCATGCTCTTCACCTCTCACACATGAGCTACTTTCTCTGATACAGGTGAGGGATTGAATCCCTATGACAGCACCCAGCCTCTACTGTCTGTAACATTTCTGTGTGAGGATTTGGAAAGTGTGTCCACGTGTCCTCAGTGAAAGGCTTCTTCAAGTGGAAACAGCCAGGATTACATGATCCCATTTAGAGAAGATGAAAACAAACACAATAAAATAAGTTGAATAAATGGGAGAGCAGGCACAACAGTTCATTTTTTTATCTCTGATTTTTTTTTTTATAAATTCCAGGGATGAATTTTACCCTAAGAATGAACAGTGAGTGTCAATACATACAGAGATGAGTTGGTGAAGCTTCGAATTGTCCGAATGACCTCCGATCCGTAGCCAGCACAAATATCCAAGTATAGGTTGAACACTGGTTAGTTACTCCATGAAGGATTTAGAGAGAAAAAAAAAATTCATTTCTTGAATGGAGAATGTGTAGCCAGCATGTCCTCTGGTGAGCAGAAGCTTCTGCTTGCCTGGTTCCTTGGGGATTCTCTTCATTCTTCTCCCGCAGGGGGAGGCGGCTCGCACAGCTTATAGAGCCTAGAAAAGGCATGGAAGAGTGTGACACGGGCCTGGCATATTGCCATCATCTGAGATGTTGTTACCGGTAGGAAAAGGATATCGACAATGATTTCCTGGCTCAGGAGTCATGATCATATTGCCTATTTTACTAAACATCACATATGAATTAGCAAACTCCAAAACCTTGGTTCTATTATTCAGAAAACACCAGTGTCTCTTTGCTGCTCTAGAGGATTGGCGATGCCTTTTCCACACCAGCTGCTTCTGCTCTGGGCTGCCAACCCCGACTGCTCACCTTGCTGGCAGCAAAATCGATTCTCTGAATTCTAGGAGATGATATTATTATGATAATTACCATCTTGTCTATCATGATGAATTTGTAGCAAAACAGCACCTGCTCAGAGGGGTCTGCTGGCTTTCTGACCCGTTTTCGAAAGTTGCTTCATTTTGTACCATCTCTTCGGTGCAGTCAGTTAAGAATAGGGCTGATGTGGCAGAGTCCTGAGGCCTGACTCTCCAAACACAATTATCTGGTGTTTCCTCAGGAATAACTGCCCAGCTCTGCCCATCTTTCCTCTCACCTGTCAGCAGAATCAGGTGGAGATTCAAGTGGGTCCAGGCATCTACTTGAGCTGGTGGAGATGCCTGGAAGTGCTCCCTCTTGGCATCCCAGATCTAGATGTTTGAGGTCATTTAGCATTAAGGCAAGGGGTGTGGGACTGAAGGAGTATTGTATAAGCTCCAGAGCTCCACATTCTCCTGAATGGTTATATCCTAGCTCCAGAATGAAATGAAGGAGAACATAATAGCTGCAAGACAGCCAGGGACCAGACAGGGCAAACCTATATGGAAGGCACAGGCTGAGTGAAGATCAGCTGACTAAGCTGAACAGGTGTTGGACTACAGACACTCCCAGTCCTATAGTTCCGTGGCCATGCTGACCCTACTTCAGAGCTTCATCTGTGATCTAAACATCTTAAGTACAGGTGTCAACTTTGCTCCTTTTAAAAAGTCCTCCAAACTCAGGGGTAGCTGTGGTGATTCACTTCTTTTATAGATTAAATCGGACAAAGTTTACATGAGTTGTTGACAAACTCAGCAAATTCTGTTTCCTCTTCCTTCCACATTTAATCCCATGCTAATTCTAAATCGAATGGGGGGAAAAGACTGAAAAAGGGCGAATATTGAGTTAGAAACCTTGTTAACAAAATAAACTCTCTTAGTCTGGAAACACACAGAAAAAGTTACTGCCTTTGGAGATTTGCAAAATGTATTTCAAGTCTGAAAGGTGCTTAATGCTCTACAAGTCATCTCCATGGAAGAAAATGAATACTGAAATAAGGACATCTCACATCAGAAGAGCTTATTTCATCCTTCCCGGAGAAAAGAATACATTAAATTGAGCTGATATAGTTCAAAGCTGGCTTTGCAGTTGAAAAATATGGTGTTGCTTCAAAATGCATTCCCAGCGCTGGAATAATAGAATGATCAGAAAGTTCTTTTCCTCTCTAATTTCTATCCTTTCATTTCCCTGATAGCGCTGCCTAATGGGTAGAAAGGCAGTGGCCTTACTCAGGTAGAACAGAAACAGTAAGCTGAGTGGCGAATGTCCTACCCCGTGAGATCTGGGCTGCGCCATGACATTCCATTACCTTGCACTGCACGTTTCCACATAATGGAGCTAATGCCACTGGGTAGACGAGTCTTTGAAATGTCTGCCTTGCAAATTGGCAAAAAGGCTACTCCCTGTGATCACCTAATGAAATAATAGCTCTGGGTACTGCAGAGCTGGGCAGATTCAGCTTCTGTGAGGCTTCTTGGAAGTGACTCAGGGTTATTTCAGTTCAGACACATTTGTAATGGAGATTGTGGGGCTTGGGGAATTTAGAACAGGCAGATGAAGTTGGGAAGCAAAATGTAATAGTTAAGAGTTGGACTTTTACCCTGCACTGAGGCATTTGTTTCTCTGGCAGCTAAACTGTTAGGTAATGGGAGGCCTGGTTTTGCCCAACATTTTAGGACCCTTGTCTTCTCATTCCACTCAGGCACACCCATGCCCCTGTGTGAAAAGGTTTGTTCCTGGCTCCATTTTCTTCTTTGCCTGTTGGGGCTCTGGCAGCCATCTTGGAACTGGTATTTCCAGCCCAATCCCCATCTGCCGGAAGTAGAACTTTCAAACTTCAATCTATAGATCATGCCCTTCATCTTTCTACATGGCATAAATAAAAGTTGTGTTGAGGGAGACCACAAAGCAAATGCCTCTTCTGAAGGCTAGAGCGTCAATAATAATCTGTCCTAAGGCAATTCTCCCTATCTTACAGATGAGAAAACTTGTCTCAGAGAAAATAAATAACCTGGCTAAATAAGGTCACAAGCAGGAGCTGGGACTCAAAACCGTGTTCTTCACTTGTAACCGCCACTGTATGCTGCTTCACAATTAAGCAAATAAAGAAAATCAAGCTTTCATAGCACAGTGGTTTCCAGGTTTTGTGACATAATAGAAAATAAGACGAGTGTGTCATTACATCTAAAATGTAATATTTGGTTCTTGATGAAGATTAAGTTTATTCCTCTGAAGATGCAGCACATGAACGTGAGGGGAAGAACATGGTTTGTACTGCCCACAAAGGCATCTCCACGTAGGTGTCCCATTGATCCTCAGCCCCAATATTACTGAGATGAGCTCATCCTCTTTTCCCTACATGTGCTTATTTTTCTCAGTGACTAGAACCATTTGCCCCTTGTCACCCAAACCAAAGATTTGGTGGTCATTCTAGAATCTTCCTTTTCCCTTCATCCAACTAGTGTCCAAAGACCATTAATTCTGTCTCCAAAATATCTCTTGAACCATCCTCTCCTTTTCATCCTCAGTACCATGACAATCTCCTCTCAAGCTCCTGCCTTCAGTCTTAGCTGTCCTCAAATGGATCTTCTTACTGGTGCCAGAGATAAATTTGAAATTTTAAATCTTCCAGACAGGAAGACTGCATTTTAATGCCTCCCTAGTGTCTTCAAGTGAAATCAGAGCTCTTCAGTATCCCATACACGTCTCTTCCTGATCCAGCCCCTGCCTATGCCTCCAGCCTCACCTTGTATCATTCTTAAATCACATTCAACCACCAGTCATAGAGATCTGGGTGTAGTTCCTGGAGTGAGATGTGCTCTCCAGGCGTGGGTGTGATCGCATCAGCTGTGGAGGACATCTATTCCATGCCGATTGGGCCAGGAACATTCTGCAACCTCCCCTCTCTGTCCTTAGGCTGAGTTTTGTGCCCCTTCTCTCTGTTCTCATGACAATCTGTGCCTATGTCTGCCACAGTACTTACATTTTGGATACTGTTCTCATTTTATTCAGTTGTCTCTCTACTGCACCCCATTGACTAGTGGAAGGGACCAAGTCTTTATTTCTAGCTTTTAACAGTGTCTGACATCTACAAACATATGGCAGAAAGTCAACATATTGTCTGCTGAGGTGAATTTTAAGTAGTGAAAGACAGTGATGGGGAAAGGAAAACTATGGGAGAGATTGGTAAGAGATTTTAACCAAATATTATCTCAGGCAGAGATAGCAAACTCTATCTCCTCCATGAAGATATTTCCAGAAACACTACCCCAGACTTGTCTATGGGTGGCCTGTTCTTGAGAGCCAAAATTTGTTCTTCAATTTGCTGTCTTTGGGCAGGAATCCTGGTTCTCAGCTATCTCCGGCCCTCTGGGCCCTCGGCACTGTCTCCACACCACCTCATAGAGTGCTTCTCACATTCTGCCTTTCCTTCCAGTTATGTTTTGTCATCTCATTTCTTTGCCTGAAAGGTCCTTAAGGGCTGGAATTGTTTCTATCTCATGTTTATGTTCTCCATGGGGCAAAGCAGGGTGCTGTGCATTTCTTAAGTCCTCAATAAATATTTGTAGAATGAGTGAAAGAATACATAGAACTAAATTTAAAAATTACTCTCAATTTCTCCCTTGGGATTATTACTCTCTCGTAAAAAATGTCAACTCTACAGCTGGCACATTTTATTATGTTTCAGTTCAAGTGTTTTAAAACACAACCCAATAAAGAGAAAAGTGAGTTCATCGGGTTCTTTTCTTGTATTCAGCTTGCGTACTGGTTTATTGATCAAGACGCTGAAGTCTTATCTTAACCCCACTGTTTATTAGTGTTTATAAGCTCTAGCTAAGAAGACCTTGCTAAGCCATTATCTTGTTTTCTCATTGGGATTTTAACACTTCACTGGGTCTGTTATCCAAATATACCATGTCTGCTCAAGGTGTTAGAGAGAGAATGCTTAGGTGAAATGATTCTTTAGCAATAGAAGGTCTTTCTAACCTAATCAACTATGCAAGATAACATTAATAAGACTTGAAGATTAAATAGAGTCAGAAGTCAGCACTAAAAATAAACACACTTAGAACACCAGGGCTCCATCCATTGTCAGGGGGAAAATATGTTTCCCCTTTGGAAAGTACTTCCATTACCCACATACTTTTTTAGAATGAAATATAACTTCATAAATGCTACAGTCATCATTCTCACTCTGGTAACTGCTTTGTAAACAGAAACAAAGAGTGTCTTGTCTGTGACAGTGCTTGGAGGAGGATACTTTTTGTTAAAATGCCAATTGTATAAAAAAAATCAAATGTAAAAGAAATCACTTAATATTGCCCCACTTCAAGAGAGATGGCTGCCTACCCTAATGCCACCAGGGAAATGAACATTTCTTTGATGGCTGTTCCCATGTTCATTTATTCCAAAGGTGAATTAGAGTCCCTTCTTTTGATGATATGTGAACTGGGAATATCTGGCATGATCACAAAGAAAAAGCTCATTCATTCATTTATTCATACATTCTTGAAAGCCGATATTCAATGTCTAGTATATAGCACTATGATGAGCAAGGAATAAAACCCAAAAAACCCATATTTGCTGCCTCCAAAGTATTCATATTCAGGTTGGGCAAGGAGTCATGGAATAATATTTTGTACCACAATATGATAAGGGCTATAATAGACCAATACAAGATGATAAGGGAGCACAAAGAGGAAGAAAATTCAGCCAAGACATTGAAGAGAAAAGGACATCTAAGTTGGGTTTTGTGGTTAAGTAGGGGTTTTTCAAACAGACACAGATGGGAAAAGCAATCATGCCCAAGGTAACGGCATGTGCAGGCATAGAAATAGAAATGAAAATGGCATTGCATTGGTTCAATACAGTTGGAATACAAATTTTAGTAGCACCTATGTAGACTGCAAAACAGAATAATGTCAAGACTTCTCTACCTGTTACCTCTCAGTTTGCTTCCCCTAAAATTCTGTTGAATTCAGAGACCATTTATGCCTAGTCACATTTAGCCACAGAGTGTTTACAAGGCCAATTTGCATGCTTACAATCAGTACTGCACTAGGCATGTGCTGGGGCAGGTGCATAAGCTGTGAGTGACCCTGCCTGGGAAATGGTGGCCAGCCCTTTGCGAAAGAGCAGACCTGGGGAGTCACTTACCTTGGAGCAGACTGTGGGGTTCGGTCTCTGATTCCCAAATTCTTTGCAGTGTTCTGAACTCTTGCTCCCTGAAAGAATCAGGGAAAATCATTTTTTAGCTTTACATTGTATTAGTAATTATTTAACATACCATTAACATTTGAGAGTAGAGTATTTATTCCCACAATGTATTTAATGTCAAGAGAGACTAGAAGAAGCAGAAGAGGGAAATCATCATCTGAGCATTTTCATAACTAATGCTTTTAAGAATCAAAATATGCTGATATATCGTTCCAAAGGATTGATATTTATTTCAGTAGCTATCTAAATCATTCAAAATAAATTTAAATCACAGCTTCCTGTTCACTATCTCAGCTACATCTTTATTCCTAGAAGCAAGCAATACTTTAGATGTTGAAAATAAGAAATAAGCAGGCTACAAATACCTGCTGTGTCCCCACTTTCGGGGATCAGAAATCACAATTCTATTGCACTCATGCACCTGTTTTGTCCTTATCTGAATAATTAGCTATTTTAAACTTCAGAGTATTTATCAAGAAAATATTTTCTTAAATAGTTCTAAAGCAATTTCTGGACAAGGCATGGGCATGTGGATCTCTGAAATGTAAGAATTCTGGCTCGAAGTTTAGAGTCCAAAGACAATGTACTTTAGCCATGAAAAAGTCTTCACAACCTGTCAAGTTCATGAATGATGCTATAATCATTGCTCAGTTCCTAATGGTAATTAGTTACTACATAGAACCAAACACCAGGGTTTGGGGCTGAGAATAGATGAAGGAGAGTGGTTTAAAAAAAAAAAACTCTGAAACTCTCTCTCCTGCTACCAAATTTCTAAGCTGTGGGAAGGGGAGAAAGAAAAGGAGAAAAGGAAGAAAGGAAAACAAAACCTATTTTCTCAAGTTGGACCAAATAAAGGAAAGCAAATAGGGAAAAGGGGTGGGGGTGGCAGAAAGACAGATGGGAAGGAATTTAGGAATCCCAATTAAACAGTTAAAAAATAACTCTTTATTTTGTAGTACTTTTCGACTTAGAGAAAAGTTATAAAAGCAGAACAGAGAGTTCACATACCCAGCTATGTAACCTCCCTCTAACACTTACCCTATAGTATGATGACCAAAACCAGGGAAACGTTATTACAATGCTGCAAGTCTTATTCAAATTTCACCATTTCCCACACTTGTGTCCCCCTTCTATTCCAGGATCCAATTCAGGATCCGCTACTGCATTTCGTTTTCTTGTCTCCTCGGTCCTCTGATCCATAGCACTTCCTCAGTTTCTCTTTGTCTTTCATGACCTTAATATTTTTGAGGAGTACTGGTCATTATTTTGCAGAATGCTTCTCAATTTGGGTTTGTCAGATCTTTCCTCATGATTAGATAGAGGACATGCATTTTGTGCCTTCTCGGTGCATGAGATCACTGACATTGACTGTCACATGATGTCTCTACATCTTACCATCGGTGCCATTAACTTTCATCACTTGGTTCAAGTGATGTCTGCCAGATTTTTCCACTGTAAAGTTCTTACTTTTCTTTTTGTAGTTAATAATTATGTTGGGGAAGATACTATGAGACTCTGCACATATATTGTTTCTCTTCAAACTTTTGCTCACTGATTTTAGCCTCCATTGGTGTATCTTGTCTGCAAAAATGATACTGTAGCATTTAGGAAGGAATGCTTCTATAAATAAGAGTCATCCCTTCTCCCCAAATCCACTATCTATTTATTTAAGTATTTATTGAAATTAGTATGAATTTATGAATATTTATTTTATTCTGAGTTATTATCCAATATTTCTATTATTAATAATTTTTTTTTTGTTAAAGTTGTTCCAGATTGGCTGCTAGGAACATCTTCAGGTGGCTTCTCACGTCCTCCTGAAAGAATCACAATCATTTTTGAATACTTGTTTATTTTTTGGTACCTCAAGATGTTCTAGGCTCATCTTCTCTGTCTCAGCTGGAAATTAACCACTCCTCCAAGGATTGTTGGTTCTTTTTAATGGAGAATTATATTTAGAACCCAAGGTCTGGACACTGGGTATACTCATTGCTACTAAGGGCATGTAACTGCTTCTAGGTCTTCTCAGTAGACAGGCTAGTTGACTAATGCCAACAGACTCAAACATCTATAGTTATTTCTACATCTATGTATATCTCTGCGTGTGTCCATCAGTTCAAGCTGCTACCTCTGATTCAATCCCAGGCCATAGGTTTCGTTCTGGATTACAGCCTTTTCCCTTCCCCTATTTTTAACTTCTTTTTCTGACAGTAAGAAACTTTATTCTCATTATTTACAATATACTTACTTATCTATTCAAGCCTAGTATACACATAAGCTAGTTTTATAATTTCTGAATCATATCCCTGTGGGAAACAGATTTACTAAACTATAGTATTTATGTATAATTCTTTTTGTCTTTAGTCTCATAATATTCCATTAAATAATCTAATGAAAGACTTTTGCGTTCTTAAAAGGTTGCAAATAAAATTGATGCTTATCATGCTGACCACAACTACTGGCATATTCCACAGCGAATTCAACTATATAATTCTTCATATACTCAACATGCCAGGTACTTGCACTTTTTAATAAAAGATTTCTTTATTTGAGAGAAAAAGAGAGAGAGGGAGAGAGAGCGTGCATACACGGAGGGACAGAGGGAGAGGGAGAGAGAAACTTAAGCAGACACCACGCTGAGCACAGAGCCTGATGCGGGGCACGATCTCATGACCCTGAGATCATGACCTGAGCTGAAACCAAGAGTCAGACGCTTAACTGACTGCACCACCCAGGTGCCCCGATACTTGCACTTTTATACCTTGCTCATGTTGCTCCCTCTACCTAAATACTCTCTCTCTCATCTTTCCTACCTGTCCACATCACATTTATCCCCCCAGGCTCAAATCAAATACCATCTTGGGCAATAATTAATTGGTCCTTCACTGTATCAGGTGCTGTTTTAAGTACATTGAGTATATTGCTTCATTTAATCCTCACACCACTATGGGGCAAGTGCTATTATTATCTTTGTTTTAATAATGAGGAAACTAAGTAACAGGGAGACTTGCAATCTTGTCCCAAATGATACAGACAGTAGACACTGGCCTGGGATTCAAGTTGAGGTTGTTTGGCTCAAGAATCTATGCTATTAAGCCACTATCATATTATCACTTGTGGCATGAAGCCTTTTCCTGGTTATCCTAGTTAAAACCAATCCATTGCCCACACGTCATTCAGCATTTACTCTCTGCTAGGTACTATTCTGGAAACCTGTGCCACCAAAACAAAATATACTCAGTGTCCGAGCCATTGAGGGGCTCACTGTCTAATCACTCATTTACTCCCTGTCTTCTGTCCTAAAACACTGAAGTTGTATATCACTTGTCTGTTGGTGCCAGTATCACCATGATTTGCCCCCATGTGGCCATCATGAGATGGGGCAAGAACCACATCTTCCTTAGTCTTTGATATTGGTGCCCAGTATAATGCCCTGAGATTGGAGGTAAGGAGACAGAATTCTTTGAAATTCCAGTTTTATTAAAAAGGCCAAAACATTTTTGAGATCAGCTTCAACCAAATAATACTTGGAATGATTAATTTGCAGGATAGAAAACTTGGTTTCTAATGTCAATGAGAGCTTCTCCCTCAAGCCTTTTATTAATGAGATCCGTTGGTTATGTCAAAGTGCTGCCTAGGATTATGATCATCGTTATCAAAAAATTAGAACAACCATAGGACCCTTCCTTCTATCTTTCAGCTTTCCTTCCAACAACTCAACCAGGGCATTCAACAAGTCTATGAAAAGCACATATACAAAATCTGTACATGAAAACAATAGTGCAGTTAGAAGAATAAATCATGCTGAAGAGCTTCTTCTTCCTAAAAAGGAAACTAAAGATCTTAGAGAATCTTACTTATTAACCTGGCTAATATCCCAACCATTCAGTCTCTGGAGAGTTGTATCTAAATGGTTGAAAGGCAAAGGGAACAGAAAAGTTAGATCTTTGATTCCCACCTGTGTTCTAACTACTCAGATCACAGGCAGGGGAGAGTTGGCTTGTAGAGTGGATCCCAGCCACTAATCTCACTGCCTGTACCAGCTGAACCCTGGAGAGAGGATGAGCAACAGAGGGAGTATTGCAAAAATCTCTCTGTGCATCACTTTAGCCCAGTTTCTCCAAAGAGAGGGGTCCCAGGCTCTCTGATCTTTCATGAAGAAGTCAGAAATCAGCTCTTTGTCTCCAAGCCATTTGGACCAGAGAAACAAGTAACAAAGGAGGGAAGCTACGTATTCTAAATGTATTTATTTTAAAAATACGGAAGGGAGAAGTGATAAATACTGAAAAACAGTGCAGTTTAGAAATCAACCGTGATTTGATAAGAAACTTCATAACTTTTCAGTTGACTTAAGTTATATTTTATAAATATATAATAATATATATTAATAATATATGTAAATATCATTATGTACATTGTATCTCAGAAAGGTTTGCACTGGTTAAACAAGTCATTAGGGCTTACATGATATGATTTTTACTTTCCATCTCTATTTTATCTATCTCTTTTTTCAGTTGTGAGAACTTAAAGGTTTTGATTATTGAAGTCTATATAATATGACTGTATATCTAGCCAATCCATCATTATTCCTGTACTAGAGTATTCTAAAACAGGCTAATAACAGTCTCTTAGTCTTGCCATAAACTATAATTTTGAGAGGGCTCCTTCAAGTCTTAGTGCAAACTTACTCTAACAGCAACAGAGTGAAACAGAATGTTTAGTCTCTTTCTGTATTTTTGGCATCCCAAACCCAACCCTCATATGGATAATCACAAGTTTACCTTGATCTATTTTTTAAAACCAAATTTGTATATCCACCCAAAAAATCCTTCCAAAATCTGCTGGCATTTGCATCTGTATTTGCCCTTTTCCAGCTGACCCACAGTGCGTCCTGTGCTTCTTGTGGATCTAACCTTTACTTAGCAAATCCCTCCTGGGCCTTGTGAGATCTTGGTTTTCAGTCTCCAGCCCCAGGGTTCCCAGCCTGAAGCTCCAATGTAGCTCTGCTTGTTGCACATTTCCGAATCGCAGACCCCAAACTGGTGCTGGCCTCATGACTGCTTCCATGGATTTTTTTTTTTTTTTTTTTGACATTCTGTAGTATCATCTTGGGAGCAAACCCTCAGGGATTTGTATGTTTGTGTAAGAGTTATATGCTAAGTCTTGAGTAAATAAAGCAGTTTTAACTACAAAAGCATATCTTGAAAACTAAGTCACTTGGGGCGCCTGGGTGGCACAGCTGGTTAAGCATCTCTTGGTTTCAGCTCAGATCCTGATCTCAGGGTTGTGGAATGGGCCCCAAGTTGAACTGAATCAGGCTTGAGCTCAGCGGGGCGTCTGCCTGAGACTCTCTCTCCTTCCCCCTTGGCCCCTCCCCCCGTGTGCTCTCTCTTTCTCTAAAATAAATAAATAAATCTTAAAAAAAAACAAAAACAAAACTAAGTCACTCACTATCACTGGGCAATTCAAACCAAGTGAGCATGTAAATCAATTTTCTGTGGTAACCCTGAGAAAATGTGGAAGAAAATATAAAATTGGATCTTTTCCAACTTATTTTGTGTTTCTACTAAGTTGTGTCTTTTCTATTAGATTAAGTACATTTTCCTAATAATCAACAAATTAGAGGTTAGTGCATTTTTCTTATTTTTTAAAAGAATTTTAAGAGTTAAAAACCAAACTGTGACATTTAAAATACCATTGGGTATTATATCCAGAACTTCATTCTCTTGATAAGAAAAGTATATTCCCACCTATAAATACTTCAGTGACCTAAAGACATTCCTAAGATTGCTATTCATCCTCTGAAGGAAAATCTGAGGTATGTGCTTTATCTTCAGAATAATGCACAAGTTTCTTAGCATGGCTTGGCATTCCCTTTGGGAGCTCCAGGAGCAAGCAGGGCCCTCAATTCTTTCCTTTTCCTTGTCTCCAACCCCTTCCTCAATGTATTCCCAGAGCCTTAGTAAATCACCTGCAATGCCCCAAAAATGCCATGCATCCCTTGACCTCGTCCTTTACATAAGCCCCAAATCCACTCCTGCCCGATATGCCTGTCCAACCCCTTTCCTCCTTCAGGTTACCTCTTTAGGCATCTCTTTTTGTAGCTTGGCTAAATTTCTTGGTACATATAGATGTCTGTACTGCCTTCATCCCTGGGAGTGTTTCTTGTCCACACTTACCCTCTGAGCCCGGAAAACTGTCCCTCACATCCAGGCACCCGTGAGACACCTGATAAATGCTGATTATTCCAATTAAACCTGATAAATCCTGATTAAAAGGAAGCTTCAAATCCAGGTCCTGTGAAACAGTCCCTACACTGTGCGTGAGACTTACCTGCTTCCGCATCACATCTGTGGCCTGCATGATGTAGCGAGGAGGCAGCCCATGGCTTCGGGCCAGAATGATGGCCTGCTCCAGTGTCACGCTCAGGGTACACCTGTGTGCAAAAGCAAAAACAAGTCAAATGCCACGGGCTCCCATTAAGCACCTCAAAAACAGTTTGGGTTACTAATGAAGAGGAGCAGAATATATTACACCTAATCTCCCTCCTCAGAGAGTTACTAATTTTTCTTTGGGTATCCCCCCTGTATTCGAGAGGTATACATGTTAATAAACTTCTGTTTGTTTTTCTCTTGTTAATCTGTCTTTTACTATAGGGGTCTCAGTTAAGAACTCAGAAGGATAGAGGGAAAATTATTTTTCCTCCCCCACACTAATTTCAGAATCAAAAAACGTCAGCCAAAATGGAAGCAGCCAGACAATGAACCATTGATTTTTCTACATAGAACACCTGTTTTTTGTTTCGTTTGTTTTTAGTAGGCTCCACACCCAGCGTGGAGCCCAGTGTGGGGCTTGAACTCATGATCCTGAGATCAAGACCTGAGCTGAGATTAAGAGTCAGATGCTCAACCAACTGAGCCGCCCAGGCGTCCCTAGAACATCTGTTTAAAAACAGATTATAGAACTACATGATTGGGGTCCTAAATTAAGTATTTAAATCTAACAAACTCATAATGGACTATGTTTATGAAAGAGTTTATATACATACAATTCAATAAACAGAATTATAATAAAATCTGTTATCAGATATTATTCTTTACCGGTTTTTCACATAGTTTAAAAGAAAAGACTTCCTAATATTTTTCATACATATCTACATGACAGTTAATAGATTTACGCTAATTTATGCCCAATAGCTTAGAAAAATAAATAGTGAAATTAATATTCACTATGATCAGAATTGATATTTTAAAAAGTATGTCTCTTGGACCCAATCTAAAAGACTGTAAAAATTTCAAAAGGAGCTTTTAATTAGTTATACAGGAAAGTGATGCCTAGAGCAACCCTGAGAAATTCAGAATTCAGCCCCTGAATTCAGTGATTGGTGTGCCTTTGTCCTTTGCCTTCCCTTTTAAGGCATTTCTTTTATGTCCTTCAACATTTTTCTCTTTGACAGCTCTTAGAGCCTACTTATTTGTTAACATTTTCAGGTGCTGGTCTCTGAATTGCTTTTTAGGGGTACCTTTTGCATACATTTCACTAAAATGTTCATTACTTTTAGATGTTTTGTGTAAAATTCATATGAGCAGATTTTGTTTTACTTTGCTTTTCAATTTATGGGTATTTATTCTGATTTTTTTTTTCTATTTTTGCATTTACCACCCTGTAGTTTGGTGGTTTTTTACACACGTATATATCTAGGTCTGTTCAGTTTTTCCTTGCAAATGAAAGGTCTACAAGGCAATTGCTTCTACATGAGGAATATCTAACTCACTTATCCCTGGTTAGGAGGCTGTACTACATTAGTCCAACACGTCTGCTATATTTTGATACTGCCGAATTAAGAAAAAGAGGAGTAAGGGGCTTTAAACTTTACTGCTGAAATTTTAGAAAGAACCTGACAACGTGTAATTGTATTATTACGCATCATTGGATTCTAAGGAGAAACCTGTTAAGTTTCATTGGCTGTTCAATGATCTGACAAGCATTAACATGACACAGAAATCTTTACAAAGCATTAGTAATACATAGTCTGATGGGCTGAAGTGTTACAATTAGCTTTTGGTAGTATGTGATATTTACAAATATTTAGCGTACGAGGTGAGTTGTAACAACAGATACTTGTCGTTTTACATGCTCCTGCATGCCCTAGAAAGCCGAGGAGTACAGTTGACAGTTCACGCTTAAAAAATCAATTTTTCACAAAGCATTTAATTGTCAACTTACTTGACAGACCATAACCTTTTTTTCCTCCTTACGGCCTCTACTCCAATTTTAGGTCCTTATTGAGTCTAACATTTTAATCAATAACACTCATTACACTAGCTGAATGACACTCAGGAAAAAAAATCTTTATCTTTTTCTAATCAAACTGAAATATGTCTGTTCTTCTAGATAAAACATGACTTGCCCTCCTTTGCTTATAACACTTACTTGTTGTGAAGAATTTTTAACAAGCAGCGTATAATTTTTATCCATTTTTAAAATCTTTTTAAACGGATTTATTTCTCCCTACTTCGAGCTATAATAAACAACAGTACAGTAGCAAATTATCTGCCAGAGACTTTAATCTCCCGATCAATCAGCATGGCCAGTACCATGCTCTCTGAGAATGTACCTCAAAGTGTAATTTTTTAAACCAATCACACACGCATCACCTAATAGAAAAATCTACCTTAAAATGGATGTATATGCTTTCTTTCACTACCATTTCCAAAACAGATGGCTTTGTCTACCTATATCTGCCTGTCCATACTAACCACTGTGTATGTTCCAATTAGGTCCCAAGATTAATTTGAAATTTTTAAAAAAGTGAAACATTTAGGGGTGCCTGGGTGGCTCAGTCAGTTGGGCATCCGCCTTCGGCTCAGGTCATGATCCCAGGGTCCTGGGATTGAGCCCCGCGTTGGGCTCCTTGCTCGGCAGGGAGCCTGCTTCTCCCTCTCCCTCTGCCTGACCCTCCACCCCGTTTGTGCTCACTCTCTCTCTCTCACTCTGCTTTCTCTCTCTCAAATAAATAAATAAAATCTTAAAAAGTGTATTTAAAAAGATAAAACGAGGTCAATGTGGGAAATAACTGCCTGCGTTTGATTCACAGTTTATTTGTCCAACGGAGGCCTTCTTTTTCCATCACAGCATCACAGGATCCCATTCTCATGAATTAAGCATGTGGAAGAAAGCTCAGCAGTAATACAAAACTTTGCTGTTAATATATCACTATTTGCTTCCTAGCTTCTTCTCTTCTCTCAGCTATATCAATCAGAATGTCAAGTGGAAATATTTAGCATTTGCAAGAAGCATTCTGATTCTAGCATTCTCTGAAAAATTCCAGATCCAGAGAGTGGCACATGGTTTTTCAACGGTGCATAAATGGATACTCAGAATCAGGTTCTACAAGAGATCATTTGGTTTTATAGGTACTTCAGTGATTACCAGTGAGACAGCTCTGCTAACTCTGGACAAAAGAATGAAGGAGCATTAGGAAGGCTGGGAATCCTAGGCAAATCTATTCAGTACGAGAGTTCTTATCTGACCCACCAATTTCCTTGCTAGCAGTATCTCTGTTTTCGTATTAGACAGTTAAATTGAAAGTTAAAGAAATCTGTATTTTGGCCCCATCCTGGAAAATACGGCCCTTGGTTTTCAGCTCCTTCTAGCTGCAATGTCATTTTTAAAATTTAGACAACTCTTTCCCTGGGAGTCACAAAATAAAAAAAATAAATGTCACAGAGTAGACTTTGTCCTTCATAAAAAGGCATAACAGTGTATAAAACATATACACTGAAGAAAGTTGTTCCATAATTTGAGTAGTAAGACATTCCAAGTAATAGCTCTGCTTAGGGCATACTCCTGAGAAAATGTACTTGACAGGGCTATAAAATTATGCAGAAATTGTGAATTTACCCACAGAAAGAAAAAGGAAAGGGCCAATATATCTGTGCTTATGATGAATAAATCTTCTTGACATATTTTGTATTAAGAATAGATCCCACATCACATCAGAGATTTAGCAGAGTTTTAATATGATAAATGTAACTTGTGGTTAATGGGTCCAATTTAATTTGAAAGGCACTGTGATTTAACATTGCTATGGAAGAGTCACAAAGAAGTAACTTTTGTTCATTCATTCACTCAACAAATATTTTTTGAGTGTCTACTTTGTACCTACAAGTACCATTAGATGCTGTAAGAAGTGGATTTGCTATCAAGCTAGAAAAGGTTGATAGTGTCCCTCACTTGTATGGATCCCTAGCAAATTGTTCACATAGCCACATGCTGTTATAAATTTACAAAAGCAAGATGTTTTAACTGCAAATAATTATGACTGCTGTCTTAACCATGTCTATCCCAACTTCCCTCTGTCGTGTTCTGGAGTGTTCAAATGGCCATGATTATTTCTGGAACTGAGCTAAAGGACATAGAATTATGGTTCACTTAGGCTAGGTTGACTGGAACCTATGTATATGATTTACAGTCACTTCCATTTATAGTTAGTTTATTATAGTCTCCTGGTGTAGAAATGGACTCCAGAGTATTTGTACTGCCCACTGTGCAAACTCACCTAATATTGAAAAGGAGGGGTGCAGGGCCCAAGGTTGTAATGCAATGTTCATATCCTGAGGCACCCAGGACTCTATGTGGTGGAGGAAAAACCAGGCTAGAAATGTATAGAGCCAGAAGCTAGTCTGTGCGATATTCTTTCAAACATTATGGTTCATATGCTACAGAACCTTATAGGGGTTCTCATATTTGACAACAATTTAAAAATTTATAAGAGATTTAGCAATAATGTAGAAATTAAAAGGCTTTTCTAATCAATAATTTTTCTTTAAAAATTTGATCAGCCATGCTAGAGACAAAAACAGAATTATTTTCCTATTCTCTCTATAGAAGATTATATCACAAAATTATTATAATTTGAAGAGGCAGTCAAAGAGTATGTTATCAAAAACTGCAGAGGAAAAAAGTATAGAGGTGGGTCAGCCAATAAAATAATAAAAACAGTCTTTTGTCTTTCAGATTTTATAATGCTTGTGGTACTTGCTAGCATTTTAAACTTTGTAATATTTTTCGCATTCCAAATAAATAAATATTAAGTTTCATTTCCATTTTTTTTTGGTAATTTTTCTATTCTTTTTCTTGAAAAGGGCACTTAACTTCAGATCCCCAAATCTTTATCCACTCCAGTGTGCTGGGGATACAACAGCAAACAGAAAAAAAATCCCATCCCTTCAGGAGATCAAATTTTAGGGGGAGGAAAAAAGAAATAAGAAGCAAATACATGATACCAGGTGGTGATAAGTTATCCAGAAATGCAAAATTTTTAAGGGAATAGAAAGTGTACAGGGTGCCATGGCAGAGGGAGATGCTGTTATTGGGAAGACCACTTCAGGGAGAGCAAGTGCAAAGGCCCTGAGGTTAATGCACATTCTGTCT